TAGAACAACGTTAAAGTAGATTGGGTTTTTCAGTCATTTTCTTCAGTGTTTGGTTTGAATTATCACTTGTTTGCTTCTGAATGGTTCACGTTCTTCTTTCTTTCATGCACTTTGTTGACTTCACGTATAGAAGCATGATCGAGTTATGAGACATCGAGGGTAAATATATATATATATATTGGAAAATCTTGTGATATATGTTAATTATTATAAACTAGTTATGATATCATAGGATTTAATTCAAGAATTGATCAACTGATTTACAATCAATATCTAGTTAGCTCAACTATGATTAATAATCAGTATTCATTTATATTAAATATATATAAATTTTTTGGCTAAAATTTATTCGATATTTCAATAAATAATTTTGGATATTTAGTGTATGTAGTTTTTTTACAGGCATTAGGTAATTGAGAATATATTTAGAAATGTTTATCATTGTGAATATAAATTTTGAAATACATGTCAGGCATGAGAGAGAGAGAGAGATAAATACAAAACAATGACTTAAAGAAGTTATTCATTTCGTTGTATTTACCCGAACGTCATCGAAAGTATTATTTCCTCTGCTCTTCGGAAATTTCTACTGAATGAGATTTACAAATTTACAAATTACTGGAACATACGTCGAGTCACATCATAGAGATAGTGATCTGCGTAGAACTTGGTAAGCGCCACTTAATCCTTCGCTCACTAGCTCAAAAGGAAAGACACAAGTTTCCCCAGGATTTGATACTACGCCGACTATCCTGCTACTCCTCCCTCGTCCTCAATAACGCTCCAAGGAATTTTCGTTCGCTAGCTTCTTTTCATAAATGTCGATTTAATGGCAGCAGGCTTCTTTTGCTTTAGTTTAAAGTATAAGTTTGTCCCGTGGCAGAACGCCTTTTCTGGCGCTGCCCCTCACGGCCGCCCCTCCGACGTTCTATTCCTGTACACTTTCTCGATCCGCCGGCCAAGTCGTGGGCCTTCAGGCTTCCGCGACTGCCGCACGAGACCAACAAACAACTTTCCGGGAGCCGGAAATTTGCGCCGCTCGCGGTTTTGGCAAAGCTGCCGGACGTCCGTAACTGCGTCCCCGACCCTTCGACCGATTTAATTCTATTCAGATGGCGAGGAATAAAATTTATGTCGTGGTCGGTGCGGTGTGTGTGCGAGGAGGAGTTGCGCATTTGCGGCAGGTGCTCGATCAGCGAAAGGTCTGTCAGCGAACCCTAGCCGCAAGCTTTTGACCTGAAGTCGGAGGACTTTCCGCAGACGTGTCAGGGAAGCATACATGGAAAAGGGAGGACGGAGAAGAGTTGCGAGAAGAGCAGTAGCTGCAGACTGCAGGAACGATGAGACCGGATTGCGTCACATCATAATTGCAAACTTACATTGATTGATTCGGTACATTGCATGAGTTGCGATTGTAAACCCTCCTTCGAGCGTTTGCGGGTCCCCACAGGGCCCTCCACGACTCGTGGAGGGCCCCGATTCCAAGGACCTTGGAATCGGCGTGCCTGGCAAGGAGGTGCAGATTTGCGGATACAGCAGCAGAGCTGTTTCTGGTGGCAAGATTGATGATGCGGTGAGGTTGGAACTGGTGAACAGTCTGTCTGATAACCACCACGAACTCAGCATGCTTTTTCTGTATGCATGTTCATTCATTCTAGCCTTGCAAAATTTAATTTAAACAAATCATCCAGTCCGCCATGTACTTTAGAAAGTCAAAACACCAAAAGGTGATGAAGATTCGAGAGAGGTTTTTAGTTTCCACTATAGAACTTCCAGAAAATCTCTTCTTCAGCATTGCCCACTTCAGAAAATGGCACACGGTCAACTAGAGTTACATATGAGTCCGCACAACTTTGAATAGTACTGTATGAAGTGGATTCGGCTGCTGGACTATGAATGGTTCCTAGATTCTTTTTCATCGCCATGCATCTCCGAGCCCCATGTGACTCAAGGTGGTACAGTTATTTGTACATTGGAATCTCGAGGGTGTTGTCCGGAAAAATATATTCTCGATGTCACAACGACACATGTTTCGAAATTAAATTATATCAAACTCAGAAGCTTCACAGCACTGTCAATATTCCCACATGGTGAATAAAGTTTTACTCAGAGCTTGTCGCCGCATTCCAGAAGAACAAATATCAGGCCGTCAGTTATGATGTAGAGTTGCTGGTGGAACACAGTTTGGAGATGTTACATGTTTCATACCATTCTAGATAATCACCCCAATATCATACTTGAGCTAATCTATGCGATTCTGCTTGATTTTCACTATTCCCGTAACCCAGCAGCTTGATAATACTCACGCGTAAGAGAGAGGAGAGGCTTCTTCATGATTGCTTTGGAAGCAGCCTCATAAGCGTTCAGCCTCTTGGAGGATGGTTGTACTCAGTCGCACCAATCTCCATAAACAAAATTCTCAGTTTCATTGTGACAAAGTGGCTGGCATTCCTGCGTTCAGACTGATAAAAGTGTATATACCAGTTTCTAATGTCAAAGTTCCTCTTGTGGGTCCATGGAATAAACCGAAGATATAAGGAAGCTTATCATCTAAGTTGAATATTTCAACTTAGATGAGGGTCGGCTTGAAATGTGTGTTAAAGGAAGATAAAGCGGTGGCGTGAACGGTAGGTTGGACTCTACAGTTGAGTCATTGTATGGTGCGTTGTACTTGTTCAGTATGTTCCCATAACAAAGATTAAAAGTATCCAGCCGAGCATTTCACTTTGTTCTGCGGAGTGAACTGGAGTTTCTAAGTTCCAAGTTCCTCCTGTGGATCCCTGGGATAAGCCGAAGATATCTCATGTGCATGAAGGTCGGGGTTCGCATGAGGTGATTCCTTGACGCACAATCTTGACACACTTAAGAACTCTTAATTTTCATGGCGAGATAATGTATTGTCCATTGAAACTTTTGGCCTTGAGATGAGGATGTAAAGATCAGGACGGTTTGCACAAGAGAACAAAAGCTCTGTCCTCTCCATCCCAAGAGCTGAAGCAACCCAGCCGAGTGCCAGGATCAATGATTTTGAGGATGGACGGAGCTGATAAGAGAAAACACACTGGAACATCCAGAATAAAGAAGCTACATAGGAAGACCATGTAACCAAATTTTCATACAAACACCAGAAGATTGTGTCACCGCACGTCAGCAGTGGTATGAGCAGACATAGATGCAATGTCCTGGTAACCGAGCGTCGCCAGGATTGAGCTTTGGAAGTCCAATTCCACCCAACATCCTTCATCCTTCTGATCTTGTCTTCCTATGAACGTTCTTGTTGAGCAGCATCAAGATGAGATATTTTCTCCATCAGTCAGGTCCAGGTGAGGAGGAGGAGAGCTGGATTTCTGACTCTGAAAGTCCTGTAAGTTGACCGATCATCCCTCTTCTCTTCCGTGCTGCTTAGATTCTCTAGTGCTTTCACATCTGAAATTTAGAGTCTCTCTATCCAATGTGCACTTTCCGAGTTGACAATGTGTTATGAGCGATCATCGAGTCCAACATGCATGCTCGGAATAAGCACCAGAAAAGATTATTTGATTTGGTTGGCGCATGAAGAATCGTCCTCGGTCGGTAATGAATCAGTCTCATTAATGGGGCCACACGCTTGAAAGCTCGATGTTCGACCCCTTCAATTGAATATAAACATTTCGATCCACTTGATCATTCAAATCTTTCAATCTGTTCACCTTACCGCGAGGAATCCATCGAAACGATTACTTTAGATTTCGCTTCCCACATCTGGTCTACAAGTCTCTCGAAAAAAGCCTTCATCTCAGCAGCTTTGCAACAGAAAATATTCAACTGGGATGGAAGACGGTCCTGAAGAAATTAATAATCTCTCCTCTGGCAGACATCTTACGCCTTTGGGTTTATCCGTGGACTGCTAGATAAATCTCCAACATCTTTATTGCTACAAAAGTATACTCCGAGTTCCAATGAAGTAGCTTACAAGGGAGATGCTGTGAGTACTTAACGTGTGCTAGACTTACATGACTGTACCCCTGCCTTCTGCATAATAGAATAGGTACCTCGTCATGTACGGGAAATGGATTGTAACGTACCTTTCACCTACTTGAAACCAAATGGGTCGTTTGGAGCTAGATCCCAACAGAGTTTTCAATTTCACGATGGAGAACTTGTCCTATTATATGCGCAGCTGGCGCAAAATAACTGTAGTCAACTTGTTGCCAGAACATGGTAAATAACATGCATTGTGATCGTGGAGTATCGGGTTGAGCTCTCAAGATGCCAAGACTTCGTCATGGAAGGAAGCTTGACGAAGTCTCTACTGGAAAGAGATCTCCGTGTAATCTTCCCTCCCGATATGAGACAGCTGCAACAGTTGATAATACCCAAAAGGCTTCAAAATATCTGATTAACCTCCTCAAAGATGAAATGGGGCCTCAGGGAAATTTCATAATTACTTTTAAGCCTATAGTTAAAGATCAAATTCAGCCAGTGAAGATATTCTTTATTACCTCTGAATTGCATCAATCGTTAGGAAATAGGAATGTAAGATCCAAAAGTGACGCGCTTTTTTGGAATCTGCTTGATCTCAGTTAGACGTTATATTCTCTGTCTTACAGACTTGGCGTCTAGAATTTTCCAGTTATTACTCTTGTCCCTTCAGCAGCCGACAGAAGCTCAGGGGATCTGAGCACACATGCCGTATACAAAAAAAAAGGAAGGACGATTTGCTTTTTAATAAGCTGACTGTTGAAGTGGGCTCCCCTCCCATTGAGATGGCCACGAGGAACAATATCGACCGCTTTTCCGGATTTTCGTTGAAACTGGTGTACCAGTAAGTGCTCCAGTCATTGAGGTGAAAAATCTCGTGCCTGGTGACGTACTAGAGCGCGTTGAAATTAAAAAAGTACTCAAAAGGAAATCCTGATTGATTACGTGTCTTGATCCTCGCCCGACGACTCGCCCAACCAGGAAGGAAGGGGCAAGGAAGCACATCGGGTGTATGTGAGAGGGTGAAGCCTCGAACATTTGCCCTGGGCTGTCGTGGTCTTGTTCTGCTCATTGACAGTCGACAGTTTTAGAGAAGTGACGCGAAGGAAAGGACCTCCAGCGTTGCTCTTCATGGCAGCCAGCACACCACTTCCATGTGAGGGTGAAGCCTCGAACATTTGCCCTGGGCTGTGGTGGTCTTGTTCTGCTCATTGACAGTCGAGAGTTTTAGAGAAGTGACGCGAAGGAAAGGACCTCCAGCGTTGCTCTTCATGGCAGCCAGCACACCACTTCCATGTGAGGGTGAGCTCGAGCCCCATCGGAGCTAATATATATCAAATATTTGAGTTTCCATGTAAGTTTGTCTTATTATTTAGACTTTGAACGAGATCTTCATCTGAAGTCATAATTCATTGTTATCTTTCCACAACGCAGAGTACTTCACATCTGAGTTATCTGCGCTTCCATGCTTTCCATGAAATTCGGAGTACACATCTCACTATCTTTGCTACGAACTCTTTTGTATTGCAGATTCACCGGCAGAGCTGTAATCTTGTACACTCAGTTTGGTCACTAGTGCACATCGAACACCTCTCTACTCTCTCAGTTCGAATTCGCAAAAGGTTTGCGTTTATATGAAGTCCCCTTTGCACAAGCTTTATGATTTACTTTGGAACCAGAATCCTGGTTCTCTGCATTCATTTTGATTCACAACGCTTGTAGTGCCTTTGAGCAGCTCCTACTTCCACTTTTTACAATCTTCCAACGTTCGTGGTGATTGCCATGATCTCATTCTGTGAAGAGCATTGAGTAATCTTTCTCTTGTTCCTCATGCAGAGTGCAAGAAGTCTTAAGTTTTCTTTGGGTGAGCTGGTCCTGCGGATCGAGGAGGGGGCCTCCTGTAGTCCCGGTCACGTTTCGCTCACGCATGTAAAGCAGCAAACGGTTCTTCCTCTGTGAGAGAGAGAGTGGAGGAGAGAATGGAAAGTGCAGGTGCGTCCATCGTCAGGGATCCTGCTGAACTTGCGACAGGGGGGATGGACTCCGCAGACGAGGAACTGAAGCTTCCTTCCGCTGTTCAGGACCTTATACGGAAGCTGGATAACAAAACCGAGCCTTTACGGTGGCTTCCCACATTAACCTATCCACAATTTCAGGATTTTTTTCCGCAGCGTGCATTGCTTTTGACTATCACAGGGTGGCAAAGCCAAGTTCGCCTTCGAGTGCTGGAGGCAATCGGCAGCTGCAACACCCTTCAATATCTGGACGTTCAGGATATTTTTAGCGGAGATATTTCGAGGCTAACGGCTAACGAGTGGGAGGTACTTCTGAGGGGTTTTAGCTGTAGCACCCATCTACGAGTGATAAGAGTTGAAAGATTGACATGGACCTCACTTGCGGAATTGGAGAGCTTGTGTTTACAGCTGGGGGGAATTCTGAGAACCTCTAGTGTAACAGATATGAGAATTGGCGATTGCAGATTGAGTGATAGATGTTTCTTGAATCTCGCATCAAGACTGGGAGGAAATTACCAGTCTAAACTCAAGACTTTAGAACTATGTAATGCATGGAAGGACTCGAGTGCGATGAAGCATATGGCTGACATGATCAAGAGTGCTACTCGATTAGAAACTTTGGAAATAGGGGGTTCATGGGAGCGCATGTACGACATGGATGAGGAGGCCGCTAGAATCCTGTCGCAGGCTTTAATCCAGAGCTCATCCTTGAGAAAATTGGTTCTAAGGGAGGTGAAGGGCGAAGCGTCGGCCTTCTTGCTGAAGGCCTTCAGCAAGAAGGCATTGGATGGAGATGGCGGCAATCAAGCTATTCAATGTCTTCATCTAATTTCTGTGTTTGGACTCGGAGACTCTTTACGAGAACTTCTGAGCTCCAACCCATACTTGGAGGAAGTGACGTTGGCAGCCATCGACATGCGTCCCGAAGAATGGAGCCGACTGGGCCAAGCCATACGCGAGAATGCTACAGCAAAATCTATTCGCGTAACCCATTTCATGCGTCAGAAAGATGACTTGAAGGGAGTAGAAGAGCTTGTGTGTGCTGCTAGCTCAGATGATAAGGACCCCAAAGTGGAGCTGATTATCACATTTTACGATTACGATGCATTGATCTCAGCACTCAACTTTGTGGGTGAGGTATTGCGCGGAGAAATCAGATCTCTAGAATCTTTGATTCTATATTTCAATTGTTCTTGCCCTCCAGGCAGCAACGAAAATAGAATGCCAAGTATCGTCCCAATGGATGAAAATCTTAGAGACACTACAGTCCTGAAGAGACTGAAATTATTTATTCAAAGGAAAGATACTTTGAAGGGAGTATGGAAGTACCTGCTTGTGTGCTTGCGAAATAACACAAGTCTCACTCAATTGGATTTGTCTGACTCTGAACTCTCTGACTCTGAACTCGATGACGAGGCGTTCAGAGACCTGATGGGGCTACTTCAAAAGAACTTGACTCTCCGGGCGATAGAAGTCTCAGGAACCTCATGGCAAACGGACGGAAAGGCGGCGCTGATTCAACAGGCCCTCGAGCAGAACCGGAAGCGGGCAGAATACATGGCCGTGTTCCGAGAAGCCAGATTAGCGTTTGGAGATGCAAAAGCCGGTCGACTCTTTTTATGCGGCTCTCCTCTAGCAGGTGAGGTCCTCTGTCAGCTCTCAGTTTTTTTCTCAATGCATAAAAAAGTTAGCCATCTAAGGTTTTAATTCTAAAATTCTCTTCTCTTTAATTTTAGATTTTGATGTGAGATTTGAAAATTTCTAATACTATTTATTAACACACTTTGATCAAAGAATATGGTTTCAAGTATTTTGTAAAAATAAATCAATTAACAAGTTTTCAATGTTCCATTTGTGATATCTATGTTAAATTTATCAGGCAAGACTCAATTGCGTCAAACCCTGATGAGGATAGTTCAAGGCAAAAGTTGGCTTGGGGACAAAGTGGCAAGGTTGTTCAGAACTACAGGAATTGAAGTGGAGTTTTTACAAAACAATGAGAAGAGGCAAATCTCAATTTGGGATCTTGCGGGACAAGAGATTTTTCGTACTCTTCAAAATGTGCTTTTCCCTCCAACTAGCAGTTTTTGTGTTTTTCTCTTTGTGTATAGTCCTTTCTGTCAGAAAACACCTTCGTCCAAATCTTCAGAAAATCTTCAGATAGAATTGGAGGAGTGGTTGAGTTTCATCACATCCTGCACGAGGGTCACGGGAGATAATCTTCCACAAGTTCTTGTTGTGATTTCACACAAGGATAAAATTGAATCCAATCCTTTGACATGGGCTCAACCAATAGTGGAAAACCTGTCAAAAAAATTTGCAGAATTTGTGGATGTACAACCTATTCAAGAGCATTTTCATATAAATGCTCGAAAGAAGAAGCAAGTTGTTCCTCTCAAAAATCACATTTTTCAAATATTTGAAAAGTTGTTGAGTGAAAGGTACCCACAGGTTCCTAAAGTGTGTTTTCAACTCTCCTCCGACTTGGTTACAAACACCAAGAATCACTCAAGTTGTCCTCTTTGGACATCTCAACAATTTCATGAATTCTGTACCTCTAGGTTGAGAAAACTCATTCCATCTTCTTCTCCTCTCTTCGTTGATCATTCAAGTATAATTAGTTCCATCAAATCCTATTTAAATGACGTTGGATCTATAGTTCATATTCCCAATCTTGATTATATCATCGTCAATCCAAATTGGCTCACGAATACATTATTGGGTGAGCTGATAGCTTTTGGTCAAAATTTTCAAGCTCAAGATTCTGAGTCTTCTGATAGATGGAGCTCATACACAAGCAAGGACGGATTTGTGAGTGAGAGTGTCTTTGCTCGGTTGATAGAAGAGTTTCTAGAAAAGCAACCACATGGACAGAGAAGTGTGGATAGAGAGGTGCTTGAAAACATCCTTATCAATTTGGATTTGTGTTTCAAGCTCGAAGATACTTCTCAGTATTTTATTCCCTCCTTCATACCTGAGCATGCAAGCATGGAAGAAGAGTCGGCCGTACAGTCGATGGCTTGGGAAACTTGGAATGAGACTTCAAAGTTTGCGGGCATGCGGATTGAATGCCAAGATGCAAGAACAATGTCACTGACCGCAGCTTTTTTTCCATGCTTCCAGGTGATTTCATACATGCTGTGAGAAAAGTAAATTCGTCAAGTTCTGATTGTATCTTGTGCACTATGAATGGAATGTTGCCTTTTCATATGTTAATTTCAATTTTTTGAATTTGAATCTCAATATGTACCAAATTTGATATCATTGTAGATGTTCATGAGACGCAAGTTGATATCGGAGATGGGTGTTTCCAAGGAGACTGTGACCTGCTCTCGACATTCTATGCATATTTTCCTTGACGGGCATGAAATTTATGTGGAGCAAGACAAGTCGCACAAATACGTGGATGTTCTGATGTTATGCTCGAGTCATCAGCCAAGGGAGATGGCTACTAAATATGTGATGAAGCATATCGTCCAGGAGTTGATATCATTTTGCGCATCATCGAAAGGTTGTCCCGGGGTGGCGTTAGTGTTGGGTGTGATCCAAACACATTGCGTGGAGATGTTGATTCCAAGTGATCTCAGAGGAGCCATTCTGATGGAGGAGTTGAAATCAGAATACATTTGTAGCATCAATGACAAACTTGAAGATATTCCGTTGGATCGTTTGCACGTTGGATCGTTTGAAGAGTTATTCGACTATGAGCACTTTTGGCCCTTGATTGAAGGGTACCTAGGAAAGGAGGGGGAAAGAGCTAGGGATTTGCTGCAGAAGAGCGATGTGAAAGCGATTGTGAAAGCGATTCGAAAAACTATTGAAATCAAATACAAAATCATGTATTATGCTGCAAAGGCTGGACTGGATGGGATCCTCGGGATAGGACAAGCAATTCCGGAATGGGGAGATTTAACATTTGATATTCATAAAATAGATGGCATTAGCGATCGAGATCGCAGGGCAGTTCTAAAAGGTGGGGAAAGCAAGGAGCTGAATGAAGCATGACTGAGGATTCAGCAAATTCTTGCGCCTGAGCTTCAAAAGCGCTATTCCAAAATCTTCAAGTTGTATCAGGTGAAGTACGTGAGTTTAGAAAAAGGTGGGCATGCATGGGTGTGCGAAGAGTGCATGAATAAAGGCCTTCGTAGTAGAAGTTTGACATGTTAGGATTTAGAACAGGTTAGAATGCCATTATGCAATTGACAAGCATATGTTTAGACCCTCATGCAATATACAACTCTGCAAATTCTTCCTTGCAGTTTTCACAAGGAAGAAGTCTTCTATAATTTTTGCCATCATGTCAATCGCACAGTTATGTTTCTGAAGAAGTTCAGTGTTTGGCCAAACTATGAAGATGACGATTTGAGGGTAGAGTGTTCATATTGTCTCTTTGCAAGTCTCGCTATGATGAAAACCCTTCCGTTGACACGTGAGGGTGGTCATGTTGAACTTCCACACATATCCCTGACTGATTCTTATGTCCCACGATGAAGGTCCCACAAATGTATGATGGACCGGAACTAAAAATTAAGATGTGTTATAATTTTCAAGTACTATCCGTGTTTAAACAAGAGAGAAATATAGTCTGAAGAGAATGCTTTTGCAAGAATTCATGCACAATATCCGATCTGTGAAGCTCAGAAATTCAGAAATTCAGAAATTTGTAGCTCATGTGAATCTTCTTCTGCCACTTCTTTGTATGATCAGAAGATTTCACAAGATTTTCTAGGAGGCCTAACTCCAGTTCGAATGCATCTTACCAGTAAAACAAAACCTGTGCACAAATTTCTGTCCTGTGATATATTGTTGAGGTGTTATCAGAGTTTTTCGTTCGGTATTCTTTGTGCGACATCGTGATAACATTCTGTTTCATAGCGCGGGGTTCTCAGCGCATTTTAAATCTCCAGCACGCTCAGAACTGTCACGTGTATAAATGTGGTACTTTCAAAGCACAAATGCTTTTGCAATTGGACTGCGTGTAGACGTTGAGTTAAAGAGAATCTTTAGGTGGAGCATAAATTTTCAAAGGATGCAAGACCTCGTTTGCTGAATATGATGGGGAATGTGATTCTGGTTGCAAGTCCTTGACTAGGATTTTCAGTTTGCATTCATCTCGCAGAATGTAAATAACGTATGGTTTAATTGAACCAATCATGGGCGCTATGTGGACTGGGATATCTCTCTTTCAGGAAGATCATCACCTACAAATATTGTTTACGCAGTTGTAAATAGTCTTCTGAGAGCAAAGACCAGAACAATCATGGTGATTGCGATGAATTGAACAGAGAAGTATATCACGAATCGATTAGTTGAGGTCATACCAGAGAAAATTATACATCTCTAAATATAGTCCAGAAAGCTGCCTTCCAAATCCTCCTCATCAACGGTAATCAAGTTGATAGAGACCCAAAGCTTAGATTAGCGGTGTACAATTAGTTTTCCGAACCAGATCTGGGATGTCAGCATGCTCCTACGTCACGTCATGAAGTGTTCAAGATACGGAGGTATGGACTTTCCTAATCTGGACTTCGAAACACGAGTTGGGCATTGCAGCAGCAGGCACTTGAAGAGATGAACCCCGCCGCGCAAAAGCCTTTGTCAAATGTTGGTATTGTGATTGGGGATCCAGTGAATATTTAGGTTGAGGATGGTGCAGAGTTTGTGAGACTTTGCTTTCTTATACTCGAAAATTATTCGAAATTGGTGGGCCTGGCAACTTCGCACAGGTCTGCAGAAACGGCAGCAGACGTGTTTCTGGTGGCGGGATTGATGATGCTATGAGCTTTTATCTAGTGAATAGTCACTCTGTCACCTTAGCTGTCTGCTATCCGACTCTGTCATCTTTGATCACCACTGCCATCTCCGTCTATGTTCTGACACGATCATTATTTTCTATGGAGCATCTGCGTCTGTCCGCAGTTCGAGGAATATTGCCCAAGATTTGAGTTCGACTCACTCAACCAGGTTTTAACCTGTGACCCTTACTAGAACTCTAATTTACAATCTTACGTGGTTCACCCAAAGCCTCAGTTCATCATTTACAAAAACTCGGGCGAAGAATTTCCATTTGATGCCGACCGTCAACATTTTGCCTGCTCCGGTTTACAGGCAATCTACAACTGATGCTGCGCGTTGTTTGCCATACGCTGACAAACCTCTCAGTGGAGGTTTCCTTCAAAACCCCTCTATGATTCGCTAGTTCCAGAACCAAGGACATTTGCAAGGATTTTCAATTATTCTTAAACTTGATTACTTCCGTAGTTCTTTGTTCGCAAACTAAAGTGTATATCCAAGATTATAAGCATCCGATACAATGCAATGAATTTTTTTTTCCATATAACATATCCACTTGATCCATAAAAATATGATTCTTACCATGAACTGGAGCTCTGTTTTGGGCATTAATCAAAAAAAAGTATGAAATATCGATAACAAAAAGAGATCCGTTATTAGGGTGTAATTGTTAGAAATCTTACTACTTTACAGTTAATCTAGATAGCCACTGAGAGTGACATAATACAAAAGTACAGAGAAAATGTCATCCGTTGAACTAAAATGCATTTGTGAATCTATTCATCTGACGTCCCTGGCTTTGTGAAGCTCGGTGTTTCCGAACCGAATGGATGCCAAGAAGATGGGCTTCAAAACTTCAAAATCGATAACTTGACTGCATGAACCAAACACGATCACATCTGGATGTTTTTGTGCCAGCAAAGTACAACCGAAAAGTGACACCAGCTTAACCTTCAAGATGCTCTAGGTAGAGGATAAACATTTTCTGAAGGAGTCACACGAAGATGATTGTGTGTAACATCTTGACTTATGAACAGATTATCCATTCCTAGCAGGGAAATTTATCAATTTTTCCCGTTGAGTCCTAAGGCAACCCCTGGACTCAGCCCCAATTCTCTTAATTTTCAATGAGTTTATCTTCACCTTGCAAGATCGCTTGTGACCTCAATTTTCATGATTGAAAGGCTTGATATAAACTGGAAGTGAACATACTTTCAAGATTTTTGTGGTACCCCACTTTTGGTAATTTTGAGGAAATTAAAACATTTTTGGAAAACTGTGCCCTGGCTGCAATGTAAATAGCCTTCGGTGCATCAAAACAGAGTGAATTCGGAAGATCGCAGAGATTCTCGAGGAATCTCGTAGAATCTAGGAGTTGGGTGCAGCGGTAAGGACGGCCACCACCCTCTCTGCGAACTCTGCAGCTAGGATCCCTACGGCGCAAGGCGCAAAACGCGCCTTCGGAGCTGCGTCCGCGGCGGTAGGGAAATCCTTCGTATTTAGGTTAACCCCCGGACGCCTTGACTTAGTTAGGGTCTCGTTGGAAAGAGCTCGACGCACTGATTCCAACTAGCCCAAGAACGCCAACAACGGATAAGTACTCCGGGAGTTATGAAGGTTGTAAGATACTCAGCTCTTCGCCTGCGCACAGGCGGAGAAGTTTTGTCCTATGCGCGGACGAAGGAAGTTTGCCTGTGCACAGGCGAGATAGGGTTTTTGAGATAGGCGCGAAGTTCGTCTACGCACAGGCGCTTTGGCGTCGGCGGGAAATCCGCCTTGGGCCCTAGAAATGCGCCTTGTGAGGTAGAAATTGTACGGCGCCTTTTGCGCCAGCGCATCGCCGCGGACGAGCAAGGAGCCGCCAGAATAGTAAAATCCGTACGGACCGTACGGACGGGACGGATGGATGCGCTCTTGGACGGACGGAGTTGCGGCGGCGGAAGCGACGACGAAGAGACAAGGAATGGACAGTCTGGACGGAGTCGGTTGACCGCGGTCAACGCCTTCCGCACCAGCGCATCGCCGCGGACGGACTTCGCCTGCGCACAGGCGAGCGCCTGTGCACAGGAGGGTGAAGTTCCGAACCGGCGGAGAATCCGCCGAGGAGTCCGCCTGCGCGCAGGCGGGGGTTGAACTTTTGTCCGACATGCGGACACACGCGCCGAGGCGGAAGAGGATTGGCTGAGGAGCGGTACGTACGAGTGTACCGCGCAAGGCGGAAAATCCGCCTTCGGCGCTGCGCACCCAGGTCCGGCGGCGTAGAACGCTCGCGGAGTTCAAACTCGCCAATTCGAGCGTGAGAGTTTTATTGGCGACGGCGGAGCGTGAAGCCGCGCGTGAGAGCGGAGACCGTTTCAGCATAGAGCCGGCGCGGCCATCAATTGAGACGTCCTCGACGAGCAAGAGCCAACCATGACCTTCGACCGGGCGGCGGAGAGCGTCCCATTCTTGAATTCGCGATTCCATTCTCTAGTGCGAGCTGCGCGCGTCCATCTGCTGGCTGCGAAGCATTCTCGACATCGCCGCGCAGAGGATTTCTTGGTGATTGAGGGAGAAGTGAGTGCGCGTGATTTGGAATTGAGGGCAATTAGAGTTTGCCGAGGAAGAAAGGAGCTCGAGCGGAGCGGAAGTAGAATGAGCGGGCGGGCGAACTCCAAGAACGCAATGACGAGACCGGGCCGATTGCGGATGCTGCCGCTCCGTCTACCACAGAACGGGCTGCGCGCTTTCGAGGAGCGCTTGATAGCAAGAAAGCTCGATTTCTTGCTATGGGGATGGAACTACATCTGTGCGAATATGGTGCGCGAGTGGCTAGAGCCACAGGGACCACCCTCGCGCGGATTGCGTCCGCATGTTGATCGGTGGACAGTCCAAGATTGGGCGCAGGCATTGGGGAGATGTGCCGGCATGCCAGGGCACCTCCTCTTCGACAGTGAGAGCATCAAGGTGACCAAGCAGGAAGAGGCGCAATTTGTGGAGCTGTTCAAGACCGGGAGGTCTACCAAGAATGGGTACAGGACCCGCGATTACAAGGATCGATTCCGCCGGACTTTGTCCGCGGCGCTGATGCAATTACTGCAGCCACACCGCGCCTGCTACATCACACTGTGGCAGGTCTCTTTTGTGGAGTGCGTCATCGAGGGAACTCCAATTCACTGGGCGAGCATTCTGCACAGGGTGATGCGACAGCACGCTTTTGAGGAGAAGGGGGGAACTCTAAACCATCTCTCTCCTTTATTCATCAATTTTTATCGACAGCGGAATTGTTTGACAGCGGCGGAGCTTGCGCGTTTTCCGCCGTTGTCCGTCGATCATCCCGGGAAGTATGTGCGGGAGAATGAGGTCGACATTGATGCAGAGGAGTCACCGACTTCTACTCCGTCAAGGCGGAGGGACGAAGGGAGGAACACTCCTGCAGCACGAGCGCCGCGGAAGCGGCGATGGAGAGAGGAGTCCGAAGAGGAGCAGCATCAAGAACCCTCTGCTCCC